CTGGACCGGCTTTTCTGTGGGTCTCAGCAGAACTCGCAAATAAAACATTGCCTCTAAAAGCGCCGAAGAACCAAATCATACAGGGAACCAGAACTCTGCTCCCCTCTGACTCACCGCTGCCTGCAGCTCTGAGCTCATCGTCCACAAATGTCTCCAACATGTTCCTACAAACACAAGCAGCAGATGCTGATCTGACCAGTGAAACCAGTAGGAGGTGTGAAGGAGAACATTCCTACTTGTTCAGGCCGGGCAGTAGATCCCTGAAGACAGACTTCAGGTCGTCTTTTCTCACTGAGCCCCGCTGATCCTGCAGCACAGAGAACGGGTCAGAACGCCGTCGGGTCGGACAGAGCCGGCGTTGAACCGAAGCACTCACCTTGTCGTGAGAGTCGAAGGCCTTCCGAGCGGTTCGGATCTGTTTCTGGGAGAGTTCCTGCAGAGCAAACAGAAAGAACGGTCAGAACCGAGAAGTCTGGGACAACGGGGACAGATGAAAGTCCTGCAGAACCACTGAAACCACTGGATCTATGGATCCAGAACCTTCCAATGATTAAAACATATTTTGTTTTTCTTTGCAGAAGGACAGAAAATCAGGCTCGATGTTCTGAAACCTCCCAGAACCCGACCTTCAGCTCACCCTCAGGACGGGTCCACTTCTGTCTCCCTGCCAACACAAACGCAGATGTTATTGGTTGGTTTTCTGAAGCAGCAGAACAGAACCAGAACTGGACCGGTGGGTCTGACCTCATTGATGACGGACGGCTCGTCTTTCTGTCGGCTCCTCCGGACCAGCTCCAGGAGAACCGGCGAGTTTCTGTTCAGCTCCGACTCGGACAGACCCAGCTCCCTGCAGACCAGGTCCCGGCCGTCCAAACCGTTCAGCTGCAGGAGGACAGACAGACCCGACCTGACGTCAAGGTTCTGAACAAACACGCTGTAGGAGCAACTTCTACTTCGATAATTTCAATACATTTAGAATAGAATCGGTTCTGTTTGACCCGATGAGTTCAGTTCTAGGAAACAAGAACGACTCCAACTAATCCGAGCTCCTCAGAGAAAAACCGATCCGTTAATCAAGCAGAGGTCCGCTCGGATCAGCCGGGTCAGAACCTACCGAGTTGATCTCTGGCTGGAAGACGGCGAGGCTGAAGTCCAGACTGAAGACCTGCAGGAAGTCCAGGATGAGACTGGCCACCAGGCGTCCTGCAGGGACAGGAACCAGATCAGAACCAGAACATCAGGAACCGGATCAGAACATCAGGAACCGGATCAGAAC